AGAGAGAGAGAGAGAGAGAGAGAGAGAGAGAGAGAGAGAGAGAGAGAGAGAGAGAGAGCTGAAGCAGAAGAGAAAGGTCCCTAAGTGACAAGAAGCTCTGAGTTCACCAAAATGCTTAACCAAGATAAGAAGGATGTAACCGATGTTGGAAAGATTGTTATGAGATTAATAAAAGTGATTAAGGGATTAAGACTTCTCAGAAGAGATCGCGAAGGGACCACCGATGGGAAAATCCTGCTTTCCCTCCTGCACTCAGCCTCCTCTCCTGATTTTTAAGTCCTTGGTCATGCAGGCATTGAACAAAACGGTCTCAGCAGATGCTGAAATAGAATCCTGGCTTAAGCCCAGCTCTGACACCGGGGAGGGCTCTCCGCCACATACGTGCTTGCATATTAGGACTCACTCAAGCTCACACACATAGTCTCTCTTTGGGCATACCCAGGGTGGTTGTGGCTCCCCTGAGCCTGGGCTTGGGGTGGGATGCTCCAGCCAGCTGTCCTCTGGGGTGTGGGAGTCCTGGACAGAGTCCACTGTGGACTCTAACAGGGGGCAGGGCATATGTCCAGAACCAGGAAAGCCTCAGGGTAGTTGGTGCTTTGTGGCTTAGTCTCAACACTTTTTCCAGGAGGGGGACATGGATCCTCCTCTTTGTCTGACACAGGACTTACCACTTGCACCCTGCAGAAGAGCCAAGCTCCTCTCCTGTGAGGCTGGAATACATGGTGGGAGGCACCAGGTATCCCAACAAAGAGCTTTCCAGAGCCCCCCTGAACTAGGTAGGCTTTTCCCAGATTCTAGCATAAGGAGGTGGAACTGCACCAACTTCCCTCACCGCCAGAAACCTGCTTGGCTGAGGGCACAGCGGTGAACCCCAGAACCAGAAACCCAGAGCCAGCTGCTCACTGCTAGCTTGCAAACCCACCTCTGCCCATTGTCTGTTGCATGATTTGTTTCCTCATCTAAAAAGTGGTGATTTCCTGCCTCCTGGGGAGCTGGGAGGAGGAAATAAAAGGATAGATGAACTTAGCTTGCAGTGGAGTTGGGCATGTGGGGGTCCCCTGCA